TATTAACTCATAATTTGTGCTCGTATTTACATAATTAATTTATATTGAATCTACTGTAAAAATTTTGATGGATACAAATATATAAATTTTCGAAAGCGTATTAAAAAATGATTTAGAAATTTTTCAAAGTTTTCTCATTTACTAAATAAAAATTAACACTCAGCAAAATGCTACTAAATGTTACAAAAATCATGAAAGGTAGATATATAAAATTTGTTCTAATACGAAAGTTCAAAAAAAATATTTATAAAAATTTCCCAAACATTTACAAAATTCTTACAATTCAGAAAAATAAAAAAAAATACTTACAAATACTAAACTATTTCTTGATACTTTACAAAAAAATACAAAAATTACAAAAGTTTATAAATTAGTCGTAAATTTAATTACATTTACATTAAAAGAAAGTATTTATTTTTTAGTACTTGACTGAGTGTAAAGCTTTAGCTGTGGGTGAAAGCTTGAATATACTTTAGCTTGGTGTATGCTGCTGGGGTTTGTATTGGTTAGAGAGACAGACAGACAGAAATGGAAAGCGAAATCATAATGAAAAGTAATTAGAAAGCCAACAGAAAGTAAATAGAAAGCTAATAGAAAGCTAATATATAGTTAATAGAAAGCTAATATAAAGTTAATAGAAAGCTAATATAAAGTAATTAGAAAGCTAATAGAAAGCTAATAGAAAGCTAATAGAAAGTAACCAGAAAGCTAATAAAAAACTAACAGAAATCAAATAGAAAGCTAAGGGAAAGGAAATAGAAAGCTAAGGACCCTGTATTATGCTTCCGATTATGGTAGGGAAAGTTTTAGAAAGTCAAATCCCAAATTTTCCCCCAAACACTCAACAAAACAATAGCTTAGAGACACTCAGTTACTTTCCCACATCTTGAGAGGAAATTAAAAGTAATTCTTTAAATTATTTTGAGTTGGATTTCGTTTTCATTGACTTTTATTCTCGATTATTTTTATTTTACTCTCTTTTTATGTTAGAAAGTTACGTAGTGTTTTCGACTGAATTTTTTTTTCAGTCTGGTAAAAAAAAATATTGTTACATATGCTGGTTAATGAAGGTTTGTTTTGCAAGCTCAAAGGCTGACAGAATCCTTGGGTTCGTATCAGTTTTCATGCATTCCTAGGCTGTGTATATATATTACCTTCATTTGACTTTGAAGGAAGTTTAATATATCAATGTTAATTTGTTTCATTTCTTTCGGTAGATTATGTTCTTTGAAAGCCACGAGGATTAATTAAATTTTTGGAAATAAATTTGATCAAGTTACAGAGATTTTTTTTTTAATTTTCTCGTCCATCTTGAGGGGGAAAAAAATCTTGAATTTTTTTTTAAAACCTAAAAAAAATCCAATTAATTTTTTCTACTAATCTGCTTTCAAAAAACACATCCATAAACCCATTTCCCAATTCCATGCATTAAATATAATTACATATCCTCATATAATTAGATACTGTACTTTCTATATAATTACTTACCATTACATAGCACAAGATTCAAAATACTTTTACCAGAAATATTGTGAAAATGTGAAGTCTCCCCTAAAGGTGTAAAACTCGACACAGCACAATATAATTAATTATATTTCCTATTTTATATTTAATTACTGTCGCATAATGGCTGAATTAATAGACTGAAGGCTTATGTATCTATTCGCATACCAAATACTAGTTAATCATCTAGATAATAATTAATTTGGTTGGTCTAATATTCTAACTAACTCTTGTGTATAAATTAAATAAAGCTTTATCTCTATCTTTGCTTTCTTTAAAATGAAAAGCTAATTTTTCTCCACTTACTGAGGTCAAGAAATAAACTCTATATTTTCTATGTAAAATAAACGTAAGAACTACTGCAAAAAATTTTAATTAATAAAATAAAGTATTTTTTTTATTTCCAAAATTTTACCCCAAAAATATTTATCTATTTTTTTTGGAAATCTTTAAAAATAATCGATTATCCGAAATTACTTAAAAATTACCTCAAAAATTATTCAAAACATTATCCAAATTTGCCTAAATCTATTATTAATTATCCGAAATAATTGGAAAAAAAATACTCGATTATCCGAAGAGAAAAAAAAAATCACATCCGAAATAATTAAAAAAGTAATCGATTACCTTAAAAAAAATAATTCCTTAATATCTTTATGTGTTCTATTATGCATAAGTCACTTAAACCATGACATGAAAAGCGTTAAAATTACAGATCATTCTCATTCTCTCTCTCTCTCTCTTCCCAAACTCATTCCTTCTCCATCTGCGCCTCATTCCTTATCCATCTGCGCCTCATTCCTTATCCATCTGCGCCTCTGAGCAAAAAGTAATTGTGGATCAGAACATAGGACTGGCCACTCCCCTAACGCAGAAGCCTGGAAACACACCCGATCCACTATTAGGTTGGGTTGGGTTGGGTTAAGGCTTGTAATAGGTTAGGTTGGATTAGGGTAGGTTAGGTTAGGTTAGGTTTGGGTTGGGTTAGGTTAGGTTGGGGTTGGGTTAGGTTAGGTTGGGTTGGTTTGGGTTGGGTTAGGTTAGGTTGAACTTCAGGTCCGGATTGGAGAACTAGCAAGCCCTTTTTTTAGTTATGTCAGCCTCGTTAACTTACACCTAACAACAGAAGGCCAGTTCCCAGTTCTTACTCAAGGGTCAACAAACACTTAAGTGATACTCGAGGCTCAGTTAACACTTAAACGTCTCCCTTAAGGGGTTGAAAGTTGATTGCTAATGTCGGTAGTTCTCAATGGTCAATCTCTACTGGAACTGTTTTCATACTCAAGGGATAGCTCGTCCTTGAAACTCATACTCAAGGGATAGCTCGTCCTTGAAACTCATACTCAAGTTACACCTTCTACTTGAAACTCACACTCCAGGGTCAGATCGTAAATAAACCCCGTACTCAAGGGATAGCTCGTACTTGAATCTCATACTCAAGGGATAGCTCGTCCATGAAGCTCATACTCAAGGGATAGCTCGTCCTTGAAATTCATACTCAAGGGATAGCTCGTCCTTGAAACTCATACTCAAGGGATAGCTCGTCCATGAAACTCAGACTCAAGGGATAGTCTCATACTCAAGGGATAGCTCGTCCTTGAAACTCATACTCAAGGGATAGCTCGTCCTTGAAACTCATACTCAAGGGATAGCTCGTCCTTGAAACTCATACTCAAGTTACACCTCCTACTTGAAACTCACACTCCAGGGTCAGATCGTAAATAAACCCCGTACTCAAGGGATAGCTCGTACTTGAATCTCATACTCAAGGGATAGCTCGTCCATGAAGCTCATACTCAAGGGATAGCTCGTCCTTGAAATTCATACTCAAGGGATAGCTCGTCCTTGAAACTCATACTCAAGGGATAGCTCGTCCATGAAACTCAGACTCAAGGGATAGCTCGTCCTTGAACCTCATACTCAAGGGATAGCTCGCCCATGAAACTCAGACTCAAGGGATAGCTCGTCCTTGAACCTCATACTCAAGGGATAGCTCGTCCTTGAACCTCATACTCAAGGGATAGCTCGTCCATGAAACTCAACTAACACACAAAATACCATTAAAAATATGTCAATAACAAGATTAATTTTTTGGACATAATAAAACTTAAATTATTCTTATAAAAAAAGCCCAATTTTGTTACTTTATCTGGCTGGACTTTTGTGTTTTGGACTTGAAGGAAATTCTTAGGTATCTTGATAAAAAGTCCAATGAGGAATTGTGGCCTTTGCTTATGCCTGGGCTTAGGGCATTTTTTTCTATTTAAATTCACTAATGCTTGAATCTAGGGCATTATTTCTATTTAAACTTCACTAATGCTTGAATCTAGGGCATTTTTTCTATTTAAACTCACTAATGCTTGAATCTAGGGCATTTTTTCTATTTAAACTTCACTAATGCCGGAATTTGGGGCATTCTTTTCTATTTAAACTTCACTAATGCTTCAATCTGGGGCATTCTTTTTTATGTAAACTTCACTAATGCTTGAATCTAGGCGCATTTTTCTATTTAATCTCACTAATGCCGGAACCTGGGGCATTCTTTTCTATTTAAACTTACTAATGCCTGGACTTACGGCATTTCTCTCTTCAAACTCACTAATGATGGACTATCAAACCTTTAAAACTTAACTAAGGCTAAAACTCGTAATGTTATTCCTTGAAGTCTGAGATCAATGGTTCCTCAAAGTCAATCTTCAGCTCAAATTGAACTTGAAAAAATCCAAATCGACCTTCAAGTACGACTCAAGATACCTCAAGTTCAACCTCATCTGGTGTTTATTTTCTCAAGGACGAGTCGGGGAAAGTCTTGAAATGGATAAAAGTTTTAATGATCTTTTGTAGAATAATTTTAATGCCTTCAAGTTCAATTGTATTTAGAAATTTAACAAAACTTCCCATTGTAGATAATTTTAAGGTCGATTTTGTTCAATTTCTTAGATAAAGTTCAACTTGGGAGTCCATCTTGAGGGTGACATCAATACATATCCTTGGTAAATACTTCAAGTTCGACCTTTGATGAGAGACGGGTTAAGTACAAGTTCAAACTCGACCTCAGAAACATCAAGGTTGAGTTTCTTCACATATCCCTTCAAGGAAGTTCAATTTTGACCTATTCCTCGAACTCCTCTTCATGAGATTACCCTTGTTGATAGGTCACACTCGACTTGTTCTTCAGCTAACCCTTGTAGAAAGCTCATACTCGAGTTGCTCTTCAGCTAACCCTTGTAGAAAGCTTATACTCGACTTGTTCTTCAGCTAACCCTTGTAGAAAGCTCATACTCGAGTTGCTCTTCAGCTAACCCTTGTAGAAAGCTCATACTTGACTTGTTCTTCAGCTAACCCTTGTAGAAAGCTCATAACTAGCTAACCCTTGTAGAAAGCAAATACTTGACTTCATACTAGAGTTGTTCTTCAGCTAACCCTTGTAGAAAGCTTATACTCGACTTGTTCCTCAGCTAACCCTTGTTCATACTCGATAGCTAACATACTCTCGACTTGTTCTTCAGCTAACCCTTGTAGAAAGCTTATACTCGACTTGTTCTTCAGCTAACCCTTGTAGAAAGCTTATACTTGACTTGTTCTTCAGCTAACCCTTGTAGAAAGCTCATACTTGACTTGTTCTTTCAGCTAACCCTTGTAGAAAGCTCATACTAACTCATACTTGACTAGCTCGTAGAAAGCTCATTGTAGAAAGCTCATACTGACTTGTTCTTCAGCTAACCTTGTAGAAAGCTCATACTTGACTTGTTCTTCAGCTAACCCTTGTAGAAAGCTCATACTGCTGTTCTTCAGCTAACCCTTGTAGAAAGCTCATACTTGACTTGTTTCTCAGCTAACCCTTGTAGAAACCTCATACTCGACTTGTTCTTCAGCTAACCCTTGTAGAAAGCTCATACTCGACTTGTTCTTCAGCTAACCCTTGTAGAAAGCTCATACTTGACTTGTTCTTCAGCTAACCCTTGTAGAAACCTCATACTCGACTTGTTCTTCAGCTAACCCTTGTAGAAAGCTCATACTTGACTTGTTCTTCAGCTAACCCTTGTAGAAAGCTCATACTTGACTTGTTTTTCAGCTAACCCTTGTAGAAAGCTCATACTTGACTTGTTCTTCAGCTAACCCTTGTAGAAAACCTCACACTCGACTTCAGACTCAAACCATGTACAAAATCACACACCACCCCTTCTGGAGACATTTCAAGATAGACTTTACCCTCGAGTACACCATTGAGAAGAACTTAAGAATAAAATGATTTGAAGGGCCTCAGTTATCACCAAGGGACAGGATTTTAAGGGCCTCAGTTATCATCAAGGGACAGGGCTTCAAGGGCCTCAGTTATCACCAAGGGACAGGGCTTCAAGGGCCTCAGTTATCACCAAGGGACAGGGCTTCAAGGGCCTCAGTTATCATCAAGGGACAGGGCTTCAAGGGCCTCAGTTATCACCAAGGGACAGGGCTTCAACTATACGTGGATCAGCTTTTGAACCTTCCTTGAATTCTTCTAAAGTTAATTTCTCGTCGTGATTCTTGTCCATTTGTGAGAAAATCTGGTCAACTCTCTTCTGTGGGGCATTCTCATCGTCTGGTTCTGGTGCCTGACCCTAGAATGTGGCGTAGAAAGGGAGAGAAAGGGGCACAATTAGGGTCATCATTAAGGGTCGTTAGAGAAAGGGGGGCACTAATTAGGGTCATTAGAGAAAGGGGTATTTGTTTAGAGAAAAATGACACTTGTTACTAGAAGGAAATATTAATTTTTTTACAATTTAATCTTTAAAAAAAATCGTAAAATTAATCCTAAAATCACCATAAATCCAGGAAGTGTTTAATAAATCCTCATAGTAATCCACTGAAAATCCTATTACAGAAATAAAAATAAATCCATACAACACCACATCCTGAAGAAAATCCTAAAATTAATCCAAAAAATCACCATAAATCCACGAACTGTTTAATAAATCCTCATAGTAATCCACTGAAAATCCTATTACAGAAATAAAAATAAATCCATACAACACCACATCCTGAAGAAAATCCTAAAATTAATCCAAAAAATCACCATAAATCCACGAACTGTTTAACAAATCCTCATAGTAATCCACTGAAAATCCTATTACATAAATAAAAATAAATCCATACAACACCACATCCTGAAGAAAATCCTAAAATTAATCCAAAAAAATCACCATAAATCCACGAACTTTCTAATAAATCCCACGTCGAAGGGGAGTACTGCTTAGTTATCACCCAAGGAAAGAGCCTGGACGATCCTTGGATCTGCCTTTGAACCTTCCTTGAATTCGTCCAGGGTCAATTTTTCATCATTATTTTTGTCCATTTGTGAAAAGATCTTGTCGACTCGTTTCTGGGGGGTGTTTTCGTCCTCTGCTTCCGGTGCTTGTCCCTGAGTGAAGAGAGGAGCAAAGAGAAGGGGTGATAATAGAGGGGAATAGAGAGAGAGGAAGAGAGAGAAGTGGTAGGAGAAGGTGTAGAGAGAGAGAGAGAGAGAGAGAGACACACACAACAGGCAGAAACAGCACATTATTATTAACCAGAGAGAGAAAGATAAGGGACAAAGATGAATAAAACAGATATATAAGATAAACCACGATAAACCAGGTGTGAGAAAGAGGGAGAAAGGGATTAACTAAAATAAACGCTGCCATCAAGGGAGAAGCAATAATTAGCAACACCGATAAATACTGGAATTAGCGAGAACATGGATAATTGGGAAGGAGAAGAGAGAGAGAGAGAGAGAGAGAGAGAGAGAGAGAGAGAGAGAGAGAGAGAGAGAGAATAAACACACACAAGAGAGAAAAAAAAGCAACAATGACAAATTAAAGCCAAAAGTGAGTTAGCTTTAGCACATTAAAGAAAATCTATCTTTAATACACAACCAGACAAGTTTAATTATAAAATCAGGTTAAAGCGACAATAAAATGGAGAATTGTATTGGTATGTGAGATTGGGTTGAGATTAGTGGCTTTAATGGAGCCTAGGGGTGAGATTTGTGGCTTTAATGGAGCCTAGGGGTGAGATTAGTGGCTTTAATGGAGCCTAGAGGTGAGATTAGTGAGACTAGAGTGAGATTAGTGGTTATAATGGTGTTTATGGATGAGATTAGTGACATTAGGGTGAGATTAGTTACTGTAATGGAGCCTAGAGGTGAGATTAGTGAGACTAGAGTGAGATTAGTGGTTATAATGGTGTTTATGGATGAGATTAGTGACATTAGGGTGAGATTAGTTACTGTAATGGAGCCTAGAGGTGAGATTAGTGATTGGAATTGAGCTTAGTAATTTTATATGGCATTCCAGGTGAGTTTGGGGGATTTTCAGAAAGGCTCTGTGTTACAATAGTGATCTTAACTATATGTACAGTGAGATTAGAATGAGATTAGTAACAAAAATGAGCTTTAAGGTGAAAATAATGATCATAGGTATGGGTAGGAAAAATATGACGTCTTATATATAATTTCATATAATCTATACAATTATAAACTTGGTACATAATTATAGGAGATTAAAAACCGATTATCTATTTCGTATAATTTTACACGATTATTTTTACTGTAACATAATCGTATTTTGGTTAATATAATCAGTAATTTTCTATCTAATTTTTTCCAAGTTTTATTCATATTATTTTTTCTATAATGGTAAATAATTTTCAATGTATAATTTTGTCCAAGTTTTATTGATATAATTAATTTTCAAGTATAAATGATTTTAAAAAATTTCCTCTATAATTTGTTTAATTTTTATCGATATATTTAATTTTAAACTAAATAATTAAATATAATCGTATATTTCTTCTTTCAATTAAGAGACATATATTTCATAATTAATTCCAGGTGTATTTAATTTATATAAAATACAATATAATCTTATTTTTATATCAACAATACTTAATTTATTTGGTAATTTGTTGAAATATATATTTTGTATTTTGTAAAAGGTATAAAAAAATATTGATCCAAAATAAAAAAAAATCTATTTCAACTAATTTTATATTTAATATATTTATAAAAAAAATAATCCCCCCCCCCAAAAAAAATAATTCTCATTTCATCGTAAATAAAATAAAAAACAAAATAAAATTGGTTATTTTTTATTAATTTTATTCTCAATGATGAAACTGATTAAAAATTTATTTTATATTTTACGATTTGATAATTAATTATAGTTGGAAATTAACTTAAAAATCACCAAGAAATTAATTTTTAGATTGATTAGATTTAATTGTGAATTATCATAATTAAATATATTAATTTTTAAATGTATTAGGATTAATTTTTATGTGTGTTAAATTAGTTTGAAATATATTAAAAATTTTGATGAAATTAAATAATATGGAAATTAATGAAAAAGTCGTGTTTAATTTAGCAAAGAAGATATGAAAATTAATAGAAAATTATTTATTTAAATGCAAAATTATTATTATAACCATAAAGTAATTTCAGTAAAAAAATTTACTTTCCAAAAAAAAATATTCCAATTTTTTTATTTAAGAAAATGCATAGGTAATTATTACGGATAAATTTCAATTTTAATTATGTAATGATCAAGGAATTTACTATTTTGCTAAAACTACAAAATCAGGAAATTACAGAATTTTATGAAATTCGAATTTACAGAATAAACAGAAAAGAATTGTAGTTGTATAATTGTTTACGAGTACTTGTTGGTGGACGGCTGTAATTACTAACTAAATTACGGCCTTAATTACCTTAGGTGTATTACAGTAATAACACTATAATGAAAGGACTATATTACAAAAAGTATTACAGACAGACAGACTACAGGAAAAAAATACAAATTTGTCTATTGGAAATAAATTTGGAGATATGAGACGATAAATGGAAGTGATATATATATATAAATAATAGAAGAATTACTTTATTTATGGATGTTTACGAGAAATGAGAAGATTTTAAAAACAAAGTGAAGAAATTTATTAAAAAGGTTATGAAATTTATTTAAAAAGTGAAGAAATTTATTGAAAAAGTGAAGAAATTTATTGAAAAAGTGAAGAAATATATTTTAAAAAGTCAGAACTTTATTAAAAATGCTAAAAAAAATTAAAAAAATTATGAAATATATTAGAAAATGGAAAAAAAATCTATTAATGCAAATAAATTTACCTGTATAAAAAAACATTAACTCCAACAAAATATAAACAAATGCATAAATATAGACGATATAAAACACTGAAATCATTTATAAATAACAAAAGACGATCAACACATACGAAACAATAGATTCAGATCCTGTATAGATGAAATGAGGGTCTATAGGGATTCAAAGTCTCTATAAAAAAAGACGATCGTGTATAGATGATCAAAGGTTCTAAGGGCATTCAATCGTCTATAGATCAAAACAAAACACGATCGTAATAACATTCAATCGTTTATATACACAAAAAACAATAGAATCCCATCCGAAAGCTTAAAATAAACAACACGACATTAAAAGCAAATAAGCTTACATATCAGCTTTAAAATCACATTAAGCTGATCCCCCCAAAAATCCCCAAAAAATCTATTAATAAAATAGAAAATAGAATGATGCAATAGATTAAAAATAGCCAAAAAAATAGCTATATTAAGGCCGTATAGAAAATAGAAATATGCAAGGAATTATAAAAAAAAACACATATATAAAAAAAAGGTGTTTTTTAGAAATTGTTAAAATATTAGAAAAAGAAAAGTGAAATATGGTGGAGATTTTTGGGTTTTACTTGTTTACTTGTTGTTGTTGTTGTTTACTTGTTGTTGTTGTTTACTTGTAGTGTTTACTGCATCTATGCTCGTCTTATACACAATGTCTGGCGAACGTTTGTCTGGCGAAGCTTCTTAGGTATTAGTATCAAGTTGGAGGGAAGGCTGGCGAACGATAGTCTGGCGAAACTCCCTTAGGTAAATCAGTATCAGGTGGAGGGAAGTCTGGCGAACGATAGTCTGGCGAAACTCCCTTAGGTAAATCAGTATCAGGTGGAGGGAAGTCTGGCGAACGATAGTCTGGCGAAACTCCCTTAGGTAAATCAGTATCAGGTGGAGGGAAGTCTGGCGAACGATTGCCTGGCGAAGCTTCTTAGATATCAGTATCAAGTGGAAGAAAGGCTGGCGAATATTTGTCTGGCGAATGTTAGACTGGCGAAGCTGCCTTAGGTACATCACTATAACGTAGAGGAAAGCCTGGCGAACATTAGTCTGGCGAATCTTCTTAGGTACACCAGCATCATGTGGAGGGAAGACTGGCGAACATTAGCCTGGCGTAATATCAATAACAGCGCCAGACTAGAGTTTAAAACAGTGTCAAATCTTGCAGAAGTCGAGCGAACATATGCCAGACGTAGTTAAATGCTCATACTGGCAATGGCTTGGTTGAAAGTTAGTCTGGCGAAAGTTCCTTAATCCTGTTACAATATGGAGGTGATCGCCAGACGCTGGTGATCGCCTGTACTGGTGATCGCCTGTGCTGGTAATGTTCTTGGAAGCAATAAAATCAGAATCCGAATTTGAATCCGTAATGTAATCATCCAAAGTAATCGTAATGTAATCATCATCCATAGTAATCGTAATGTAATCATCCAAAGTAATCATAATGTAATCATCCAAAGTAATCACAATGCAATCATCATCCATAGTAATCGTAATGTAATCATCCAAAGTAATCGTAATGTAATCATCCAAAGTAATCACAATGCAATCATCATCCATAGTAATCGTAATGTAATCAGCCAAAATAATCGTAATGTAACCATCCAAAATAATCGTAATGTAATCATCCAAAATAATCGTAATGTAATCAACCCCCCCAAAAACGATAACTATACACATTTATCCACGTATATACACCATACACACAACATAAACATCTGTGTCATATATATAAACCGTATACTATATAAATCCAGGTGTGTAAAATAATATATTCAATAATAAACTTTCCTGATTATAATTAATTACTGGCCAATTATTTTTGTCTCATTCTAAAGCAAAAATATAATTAAGTAATAGATAGATAGATAGATAGATAGATAGATAGATAGATAGATAGATAGATAGATAGATAGATAAATAGACAGAAATAACAATTTTGTCTCTGACTTAAAACTAACATAATTTAGCATTACGTAAAATTTGATAAGCAATTAATTTGGTCTGAAAATAATCGTAATTAATTAACATTTAGACACAATTACTGAATATACTTGAATATATTCCTGGTATAACGATGTAGTATATTTATATAGATGGAATATATCCTTAGTATATTGGTTAGGTTAGGTATACTCAATATATCCGTGTTAAATTGACGATATACCCCAGTATACTCACCAGAGGCTAGAATATACCATTTAAGCATACTCACTATCCCTTGATATACTCCTGAAAATATACTTGATGTTTTGTAATATATATAGCAAGCATCATACCCATACTGGTTATACTCTGGTTATTTAAGTCGATACAACTTCAGCATACTCATCAATAAGCACTCAGCATACTCACCTAGCATACAACTCCCAATATGCTGAGAGTATACTAAATAACATATAATTATATCAAATAACCATTACATCATAAATATATCGGTTATATTATCGATATACTCATTAAATATCATATAATCTCGTTATATCTTGCTTATACTACCAGCATATCAGTATACCTCTAGCATACTCACCTTAACAAATATACCCACAGAATATATAACCACATTAAATAATCATTAGAGCCAAAGTATACTGGATATATTTACGTTATAATACCATTCTTGAAGTATATCCCTAGCATACTCACCGCAATCTAACATAAGGATACCAGGACGACTAAAATTATACCAATTATCATAAAACTACATAAAAAATCCTCATAGTCAAAGTATATTCGTTATATTTTGGTTATACTCAGCTGTTATACTCACCACCATCTGATATATTGCATCCACTATAGAATACATCTCCTCTCTTGTAATAAAACCATCGTTGTCAACGTCATATAACCTGAACGCCCCTGAAAGTAGATAAAAGCAGGTGAAAAAGTAGATAAAAGTAGGTTAAAAGTATATAAAAGTAGGTGAAAAAGTATATAAAAGTAGGAGAAAAAGTATATAAAAGTAGGTGAAAAAGTAGATAAAAGTAGGTGAAAAAGTATATAAAAGTAGGTGAAAAAGTATATAAAAGTAGGTTAAAAAGTATATAAAAGTAGGTGAAAAAGTAGATAAAAGTAGGTTAAAAAGTATATAAAAGTAGGTTAAAAAGTAGATAAAAGTAGGTGAAAAAGTAGATAAAAGTAGGTTAAAAAGTATATAAAAGTAGGTTAAAAAGTATATAAAAGTTGGTTAAAAAGTAGATAAAAGTTGGTTAAAAAGTATATAAAAGTAGGTTAAAAAGTATATAAAAGTTGGTTAAAAAGTAGATAAAAGTAGGTTAAAAAGTATATAAAAGTTGGTTAAAAAGTATATAAAAGTAGGTTAAAAAGTAGATAAAAGTAGGTTAAAAAGTAGATAAAAGTTGGTTAAAAAGTATATAAAAGTAGGTTAAAAAGAGTATTATTAGATAAAGTGGGTGAAAAAAAAGGAAGCCCAGAATAAAAAGTAGGTTAAAGAAGTATTAGATAAAGAAGTAGGGGTGAAAAAAGTAGATAAAAGTGGGTGAAAAAGTAGATAAAAAGTAGGTTAAAAGTAGATAAAAAAGTAGGTTAAAAAAGTAGATAAAAAGTAAGTTCAAAGTATATAAAGAAGTTTAAATAGTAGAAAGGGAGATAAAAAAATATAAAAGTATATATATTTTAAAAAAATACTTCAAAAATACTTACAAACTATTATTTCACTTAAAAATACCCTGAAGCTAACTATTTCACTTAAAAATACCAAAAAAAAGTAACAAAAGTAGAAGTAAAACAAAAAATATACTCACATAGTAATTTCTCATCCACGTTTCCTCTGGATGTGATCGAAAGCGCGCGAATAAACTCCTCAAACTCGATCGATCCGTCCTGTCAGAATTGAAGACAAGAGCATTACTGAGGTTTGTTGACGCTTGCTACTATACCCTCTGGAATCCGTCTATGGTGGGAAATGTTATCGTTACGGTGTTTTAAAGGGAGTGAATTTTTTAAGGGATTTAGGGTTGTTTTAGGGGTTTAGGGATTGTTTGGGGGGATTTATGGTTGTTTTAAGGATTTATAGTTTTTTGGGGGATTTGGGGATTTTTAGGGATTTAATGTCTTTTTTAGGGATTTAAGGTTGTTTTGGGGATTTTAGGGTTATTTTACGGATTTAAGGTTGTTTTGGGGGATTTTAGGGTTGTTTTTAGGGATTTAAGTATTTTGGGGGGTTATGGGACTGTTTTTAGGTTTAAGGATAGATTTTAAAGGTTAAGGGTTGCTTTTAAGGAATAAGGGTCGATTTTTAGGGTTAAGGTTCATTTTTAGTATTTAAGGGTCGGTTTAAAGTTCATGATTTGATTTTCAGGGTTAAGGGTTGATTTTAGGGGTTAGATTACATTTGTAAGGGCTAAGGAATGTTTTTAAGGGTTAAGGGTAATTTTAAAGGGTGAAGGTGTCATTTTAAGGGCTCAAGGTGTCATTTTAAGGGCTCAAGGTGTCATTTTAAGGGATCAGGGTGTCATTTTAAGGGATGAAGGTGTCAATTTAAGGGATCAGGGTGTCATTTTAAGGGATCAGGGTGTCAATTTAAGGGATCAGAGTGTCATTTTAAGGGATATTTGGCGTTTTGAAGTAAAAGCAATTGGTCAAAATAGGCAACTTTTATGTACAAATGGGTATTATTTACATAAGCCAATTTCTACATAAAATAACTCATTTCTACGTTAATTAGGACAATTTTACATTAAATAGTCAATTTCTACAAAAAACTTGCCAATTTCTATATTAAATAGCTAATTTCTAAGTTAAATAGGACACTTTTTAAAATAATAGCCAATTCATCCATAAAAATTATTTAGTTAAGAAAATAATAATTTACATCTTCACAAAAATTTAAAAAAAATTGATTCAAGATAAAAATTTAACCAATTTTTTTTAATGACCAACAAAAATTTTCACAACAAAAATTCCACTTAGACAAAAAAATTCACTTAGACAAAAAAATTTCACTTAAAACAAAAAATTCCACTTAGATAAAAAATTCCACTTAAAATAAAAATTCCACTTAGACAAAAAATTCAGACAAAAAATTCCACTTAAAATAAAAATTCCACTTAGACAAAAAAATTCACTTAGACAAAAAAATTCACTTAATAATAAAAAATTCCACTTAAAACAAAAAATTCCACTTACGATAAAAAGCTGAAAAAAAATCGTATACTTACGTTGTTCTCATCAAAGACCCGAAAAACTAAGGAGGCGAACTTGGTTGGATCACCTTGTGGGAAAAACTGTTTGTAGATCTTGATAAAGCCCTGAGAGAGAGAGAGAGAGAGAGAACTGTTAGAGAGAGTGAGAGAGAGAGAGAGAGAGAGAGCTGTTAG